CCACTTAACGTTCCATTAACGTACAGCGTTAACTTTGCGTTAACTTACTGCAGGGGTAATAATTTAGCTCGCTAATTGATCATTAATTGTCTGTACAGTGTTCGGAGACGTGTGGCTGGGGAGTGAGAACGAGGGAAGGCACGTGTCTAGACAGCAACCAGACAGTGAGTACTGAGTGTGAAGCCAGCAATAGACCGCGGCTGCGTGAGAGCTGCAGTGATGCGGACTGCACCACCGGACCCGTCACACATAGAGGTAACACACACACACACACACACACACACACACACACACACACACACACAACAACACACACACACACACCGCGCGTCCGCAGCACACGGGCTTACCCGTCACGATAACACAAACTTATAATCCATACTAATAAAAACCTTTTACGATCTATCTGAAAACGTATCGTTATCATAATGTTATAATGAATACTAATCGTTCATATTAATAAATACTCGTAATTTTATCAATTTAATCGTTATTTAATTATATGAAAATATATCGTTATCATAATCTCATAATGAATCACAACGAAAATGCATCATCCTAATATTTACCTTACTGCGAATTCGCTCGCCGATGAAATAACATTTGCTGCTAGAAATAGGTTTAACGGTGTAAACGTAACACGTAAAGCGTGATTGCTTTGTGTGAGAAACATCTGAAGCGAACTTAAAAAAACACAGACTCATGTGTGTGTCGCTCCGTCTTACAGAGAAGGTCGAGTCGTGTAAGGATACTTACGACAACTGTGACCTAGTCGTCCAGGCGAGGCTGTGTCGGTACAGCTACTACAGCGCCGCCTGCTGTAAAACATGTAGCGAACACGATCACCACTGACGTCAATCACTGACGTCATCGCCACGTGACGGATCCACGTGACGGATCCACGCCTCGTTCTTTTCACAACTCTACAGCTTGTTCTACTTTGTGAGGTCTCTGCCTGACCGCTGAGGTGGCGGTGTAAACCTCGTGTCTGCACACTCCGCATCACTGCCGCGCTGGCTATATAAGCCTCATCATGATCGGTGATACGATGCGAGCTTGCGATACTAGATCTACCGGTTCTGCACCAGCAGCCGCACGAACCCTGAAGGACGTGTCCGCGAACAAAAGACGTATCCGCGGGATTAAGGAAAGGTTAAGTTAAGGTTAAGGTTTCCTGGTTGCATCGGGGATGAGCGCATAATACACGGGGTGCTTCTGGTTGTTCCGGTAATACACGCAGTGAAAACACACGATGGAACGGCACAGGGTCTCTGCTGATATATATCCCCAGGTATTGGGCGATAGGTGGCGCCACATGTAGGCGAGGAGCTTGAGTTGGTTCTCACTGCTTTCTAGACGCTGCGAGGCTTTCGATAGAAACTATTAAAAACTAGATCACGTCTCATCAAGTTTTACTGACAACCGTCGACACGTCATCACGATTTGTACGTAAGTTTTACACGAGTTATAAGATCATAATAATGGAAAGTAAACTAGTAAACAATCTTATATGTTAATAGATTGAGTGGCAATCTCATTGGGCCTGTGAAGGCGAAAACTACCTAAACATTTTTTTATTTAGCTGTAAGACTCACTCGTATATAAGCGTAAGTATACTAGTCGTTGCTTTAGTATAACATTCTGGCCAATCTCACACCAGATGCTTTCTATTTCATGCTATGTCTGTTTGGAATTTTTTTCCTGTGAGAAGGCACGCCAATATCGGATATGATTAAATCCAGAAACAGCTTCATGATGCAACGGTGATGATTGGTTGAATGCTGACTATAACGGAGAAAACTTTATGATTGGTCGAAACATTCACGTTAGGTGCGGGCGTCGCTGAAGTCATTGATTCTTGATAAAAAAAAAACGTAATTGCCAGCCATAATCCGCAGGAAAAACAAGATATTGTTTCTCTAGCAAAAATCACGTTCATGAATATGGCGACTGAATAACTGAATGGCGACGTGCATGCATGAGCAGCAGTGTATGCGAGACTGGTGCGATGTACGCTGTGGACGAATTAAGTCACTAAACGATCCCATATCACACGTACTGCGCGGTATCTCAAGGTGTTAGGTGTAGTCAAAGAGCTTATAACGATTAGTGCATAGATGAGTGAAAGATTAGTGAATAGATCATTATAAGCTCTTTGGTGTAGTCGTGCGTGAACTGCGCATGCGCAAACAGCCGTAATAGAAGAACGGACGCGATTCGAAAGTAAATAGACAAACCGCCAAATGGTTGTAAAACTATATTTATGATTCTTTTATTAACATTTTGTATTAGCCCCACCGTAAAAAATCGTATTGCTTCGCGGAATGTTGTTTAAAGACCAAAGGCAGTGTGTCTTTGTTTGGGTAGATAATTGTCTTACGAGGATATGGTTTGTGTGTTTTTGTCCGTGTGATATTTTCCGGGTAATATTGCCCTTGTCCAAATGATAATGTCCTGGCGATATTGTACGCATAATATTGTCTAGGTGAAAGTGTCTGGATCAAATTTCTATGACATTAGATGACATCTGGATGACATTGGATTATAACATCCGGATAATATTATTTGGGACATATCGTTATATAAATGATATTGTTTTGGCGGATGTTGTACGGAGTATATCATCCGGGTGCTTTGGCTCGATGTGAATTGTTCTGACGCTGATAGTCGCATATGATGAACGGCTAAATGCGATTTGTTAAAAGTACGTGTAAACGAACGCTTTGTTGGTGTATGGCTTAGTGTTTGTGACATTATGGTTAAACATCGGAATGTCAATATTATCAAACTAATGCATACGTGTGTGTGCAGCATAGAGATGCATTATGCTGCATACGTGTGTGTGCAGCATAGAGATGCATTATGAGATGAGACTGATCTGTATAAACAGAATGATGTCTCCGTAAACTTGTTTGTAAATAATTATTTGAACCGTTGCGTGTTAAATACTTTATCTCTCTAACGCGTTTTGGGAGATTTATAACGTAATGAAACAGGGTCACATTTCTTATCTGTTATATTCCTCCTTCTGTATTTGAAGAGGGGAGGTAAAATGTATGTGCATGTATACATTTATGTACCTACATATTTATTCATTGATAGCAAAATTTTGAGATGTCGGCATGAAATGACCGAGGTTTGATGTCCACAACGATCGCTGATGAAGCGGTTTATTAATTAAGTAAAGTAAATTAAGTAAATTAGTAAAACAATACTACACGGCAAGATGACGAATAATAATCAAAATGCATCAATTATTGTTGATAAAACCTCTATAGCGACGAGGATGGGATTCGAACCCACGCGGGCAGAGCCCAATGGATTAGCAGTCCATCGCCTTAACCACTCGGCCACCTCGTCGGAATGAAGGTCAACCCAGTGGTTGAGGTCAAATCCTGTTTATGAGGGTGGAGTCATAGATTTATATACACTATACACTATATATACACTAGGTACTATATTAGATATATAGTGTATAATTATAACAGATATCTACGGGTGGAATGCAATCTCCTGGGAGTTGGCGTGTGGCGCCAGTTACTGGCTAGATGTGCTCCCGGTTGATTTTACGCATGAAACAGACTTGGGACGTGTGGGGGGCACTCGCCTCAGAACAGGGTAGGGGGTGCGCCTCCGGGACCTTGAAAACCTGATCCTGTCGCAAACCGCTTTGCGCCCTTAAATACACCCTGTCCCAATATACTGCACTAAAAAGTATACCCTGTTGCAATATTGCACATTTCGGTTATGGTTATCTGTCAATATAGGCAGATATGGGTCCAATATCGGCCTGGTGATATTGGCCCAATATTGTTTTGCTAATATGGGGCAGATATTGGACCAATATCTGCCTATATTGGTCCAATCATAGAAATAGTATAGATAACCTATCTATACTATTTCTATACTATTTCTATACTATTTTCATGGGTCCAATATTGGCCTGGTGATATTGACCCAATATTGTTTTTGCCAATATTGGTCCAATATCAGCTTGATGGGTGTGTATCTAGATAACCCTGTGCCAATAATGATGCTCGGAAAATATACTCTGTGCCAATAATGATGTTCGGAAAATATACCCTGTCCAGCGGCACGTCTCCAGTACCTTTAACAATGGGAGTGCCCCCCCCCCCCGGGGGCCGTGTATGATGGTATGCCACGTGTACATTCAAAATTGGGTCAAAATTAAGATAGATTAGGGCCAAAGTATTACGGGTCCCATCATGTGTTTAAGGACTACAAACCAGGAGGCCCCTATTTTTTTTAATTAACATCGGATTGAAGAGAATCTAACATCAAGAACTTTTAAACTTTTGAATTTCGATCGAGATGGTCCTCAGCAATTATTGAAAGTGCACCTAACTGTTTATAGCTATATTATGTAATATTAGATAAGTAGATAAAATTTTAAAAAGTAAGATAGAATAGTACATTTAATAGTAGTATTTAATAGATTTAATGTGGCTACTGTAGGGTAGAATATAATCATGTTGGACAAGAACACCCTCACCGGGTGGTCAGCAATGTTTATTTAGTAGTTTTGTCGGTAGCTATAGTACCGGGTAGGATATGATTATGTTCGCGAGGACAAGAACACCCTTATAGTGTGCTCGGCAGTGTGTATTTCACGGCTGTTCTGTCGCACGCAGTGCACCGCGCAACCTGTGGAGATGGGGTTCAGGAGAGAGATGTCATCTGCCTTCAACGTCGAGGCAGCAGCAACAACTTCAAGTCTCTGAAATCGAAGCACTGTCGAGGAGAGCGGCGACCGCACGCGCGACAGTCGTGCAGTTGCTGCAGGCCTGCTGCTGCCCAGAAGTCTGGTACACGTCAGTGTGGTCAGAGGTACGCGCCTAAGTGTGGTGTGTGTGTGTGTGTGTGTGTGTGTGGTGTGTGTGTGTGTGCGCGTGTGTGTGTGTGTGTTGTCGTGCGTGACTGTGTGTGTTGTGTTGCGTGCCGTGGCGTGCGGTGCGTTCGCGC